TCTTAGTGTTTTTGAGGTTCAGGGTCCATAAAGTTGGCACCTTTAGAGTTTAAGACCATCCATGTTGAAGTTTGAGTCATTTCCATGGAATTAGAATGTTATACTTTGAGATTTGGTCTTTTTGGGGCATACAAAGTCACCAGTTATTGACTTTATGGGTTTAGATGTCGTTTGGGACTCAGATCTATGAATTCGACTTATGGCTTAAAGCAGTAAGTGCTTAATGGCAAAATCGGATTAAGAGGGAAGTACGCTGGGCGTACAAGCCAGTACGTGCAACGTACAAGCCATTAAGCGAGTAAGCACAACGTACTGCTGAGTACGCCCTACGTACTCAGTCAAGTTGGACTTCGTATTTTGGGCTTCGGGATTGGGCCATTTCTTGGGCTAGGTTGCTGTGGGCCTTCGTGGGCCATTTGGAAACAAGGTTTTGGACTAAGGAAATTTATTGGCCTTGAGGAAAAGGCCATTAGAAAGGTCCGGGCCCAATTTGGAAAATTGGACCATAATTGGGCCTTGATGATTATGAGATACTGGGCCATTGGAATACCAAGAGTTTGGACTAGAATATATGGATGTGCCTTAAGGTAAGACCATGTAGGGGTCTGGGCCCAATTTGGAAAGTTGGGCCATATGTTGGGCTTCGACCCATTACTTGAATTTTGGGCCTTTGGAGTGTGAGTTGGGCATTGGGCTTGAAACAAGCTAGGTTGGGGGTAAAGTAGCCTTTTACCCCAAGCATGGACTTGTGGTTATGTATGTATTGGAACCCAATTTCTAATTGGGTGTCGTTTTGATATTGACAGTTCGGGAATTTGTCAACCAACAACTGGAGTTTTATCTGTGGGACTTCAGCAGTTCCAGGTGAGTTATCCTCACTATATCAACAGGGTCTAAGGCATCAAGGCCGGCCCTTTATGGATTTGTATCCGGATTATGACATGATATGTTTATTGAGTACATCCTGGTAGTTAGGATGGTGATATGCTTATGCTTAGTGACTTGGTTAGGTCGGTGTCCTGGTTATAGGATGTTGCTATGCTATATGATCTGTTAGATCGGTTTGATTGTTATATGTGTTATGCTAGCGGATGATAGTTATGTGCACATGTTTATTTGATTGGGGATGGGTTGAGGCGGTCCTGCTTTGTGCTGAAGGCCAACATACCCAGGGCGGACCGGATAGACTACAAACCTGGAAGGGTATGATAGTCAGACCGAAGACCCGACGAGCGGTCCGAATAGGCTGAAGGCCTTGCGAGGCGGTCCAGACGTGCCGAAGGCTCGGAGAGCGGTCCAGATAGACTGAAGGCCTGCGAGGCGGTCCAGTTAGGATGAAGGCTCATTATGCATGATGTTATGTATTTGTTATATGATATGGTTATATTTGTATGACGTTGGTATTTTGGGTAAACTCACTAAGCTTCGGGCATACAGTTGTTGATTTTGTTTCAAGTACGTCTGATGATTGCGGGAAGGCGAATGTGTGATCGTGCACCTCCTCATATTTTCATGATTTGATTCTGGGGATACTCTGATGCTTAAACTATTACGAAAACAAATTGTAATAACTTAATGGTTTTAAATTGGCTTGAATTTTATGGGCGTTACAGTTGCTTTCACATCCACTGCAACTTCATATTCTTAACGACGCGTCTAAGGAAAAACATGTGCTCAACTGTGGGGAAGACCCTAGAAATTGCTAGTATGATACCCTATCGAGACAATATTCATTAAATTCCATGAGTGGGTTGTTTTAGCCTCTACAATTGCATAAGCAACATGGAAAATGTCATTGTTTGCATCCAGTGCAACACCGGTAAAGCCGACAAAAATCGACCTAACTCGTTAACCTAACCCAAAATTAACAAATTGAGTTGAGATTTCAACCCATTTAAGTTTAATAGGTCAACCCGCCAAACCCATTTAGTTAAATAGGTTGGGTTGAGTAAAACTTATCAACGTTTTCAACCTGCCAACCCATTAAACTTTAATGTATATTTAATTTAATAATTATTTCAATATTATCAGGTATTGATCTAAGTATTAATTTATAAATTATAATATTATATTATAATTTATGTTTTAAAAAAATGCAATCCTAATTTTCATCTTTTTTCTTGTCACCGACAACACTAGTCATTCTACAAAATCACTTTAGAATTAAAAAAATTTAATGTTAGTTTAACAATTTATATGTATTTGTGAATTGAGATTGTGTTTTTTTCATAGTTTGAATTTTTATTTAAGTTTGGAACTAATTTAAGTGGTGTAATATTGGTTAATTTATTTTTTTGTTTTTATTTTAAACGGGTTAACCCATTTATGTAATAGGAGGGTTGAGTAATACATAAACAAGTCAACCCGTTGACAACTTATTTATCTGAAATGTTGGGTTGGGTTGGGAATATCAACATTTTTAAATAAACAGGTTGAGTTGGGTTGGAATGTTCGACCTAATTAATAAATGGGTTGAACCCGAACCCAACTCAGATCTACTCATTGTCAGCTCTAAAACAACGACAAGGGATTGACCTGGAAATGACCCCTTCATAAAGGCTCCATCTAGTCCTAACAAATCCCTTCTTCCTGCTATAAAACATTATTTTAAAGGCCCTAAACATACATAGATCCTTTTAATTTTTCTTGTTTCCATATTCATTTATAGTTGTGTCTTCATTGGTCCTTTACAACTCTAACATAGCCCTTTAACATATTATATTGCTTCTCACAGTCACCATGTAATATCTTTATGCTATAAACTTTGCTATGAACACCTTCATCCTTGAAATTTGTATCTTGTATTTTTATAGGAGGTCCTCTTTAAAAGCAGCAACATGGATATTAGGATCAGTACATACTTGGTGTATGATTTGGTTTGCGAGAAAACCTTGTGTGCAACTTTTAATAATCCTGCTGGGAAAGCAAGTGTGATGGTTAATAAATGTTTTTACCATAGTTGTCAAAATTGCGATCCTGATCGTAGGATCGTACGATCCTACGATGCTAGATATGAAAAACGAGTCGGATCATAAAAGGGTCGTATTTGGGGTAGGATCGCAGGTAGGATCGTAGGATCGGGATCCGATCCTACCTTCCCTTGATTTTATTTATTTATTGTTATTATTTTTGCAAATGAATTTTTTTTACCACTTTATGTCTTTTACCCTTTACCAATTTACCGTTTATCATTGTGTGTTGTGACTTATGACTAATATTTTGAAGTTTTATAAATTTTAAACGAAAAATTGAACGTTTGAAATATTTTTCATGTTTTAAAATTATAAATTAAAATTATGTATTATTTTGTGGGATCTTAGGATCTCGATCCCAATCTTGCAAACCCAAAAACGATCCTATGTAGGATCCAGATCATAACAACCTTGGTTTTTACCATCTAATTATCATCTACTCTAGACCTAGATACTTGAGATGAAGAGGGACATCTAACTGATTTTGAACTTCCATAAAAGCCCCTTCATTTTCATGATTCTTTTCTTGTGACATCCTTCATTTTATATTAACTTTGAAAACCAAATTAAATAAGAGTTTAAAACAAAAATCTTTATTTATTAAGGAAGTTTCCCGTTTACTAAAACATTTTTCAAAACATTTTCAATTTCAAAACTTATGGGATGTCAACCGAGATATCAAATCATAAACAAAAGCATAAACTAAAATAGTCAAACATAATACATAATACATTGACTAAGAATTTAGGTCGTGGAATCTCCATATCTCTCGGTTTCTAAAACATCATCTACTAAGGGGGTGTTTGGATAAGGAAAAAATAGACTGCTTATTGCTTATTGTTTAATCTCACCACAATAAGCAAATTTAAGTGTTTGGATAGGAGTCTTTAAAAATCAGCTTATTGCGGTAGGAATAAGCTAAATAAGCTGATTTTAATAAGCAAGGGGAGGAATGCTTATTGCTTATTGCTTATTGGTCATTTTACTCATATAAGCTGTTTTGTTTGCCAAACACTTAAGATGCTTATTGCTTATTGCTTATTCCCACCGCAATAAGCTAATCCAAACACATTTTAAAAAAATGTTTATTCCCACCGCAATAAGCAAATAAGCAATAAGCTAATAAGCTAAAAGCTATTTATCCAAACACCCCCTAATGGTCACCATTTTACCCTTCTATTTAAAAATTGCTATTTTAGCAACTTAAGTTAATAAGTACTAGTTCATCTCATTTTCATCCAATTTCCTTATGTGCCATAAATATTTCAATACACATAATATAAACCTACATGCTTGGTAAAATTCTTTATATTTTAGATGTCGAAACCATATGCTAATGATTGAACAGATCGTTTAATGCACTTACAATATAAAAACTAATCTACCATTAACACATACTCTTGACAATTTCTGTATGCAATGATTATCATGAACACAAGAGAAAAGGCAGGCATCATCGCCAAGTCTTAAGAACATTCAAACACCAGATAGATAATCAAGAGATGCTAATCCGATGAACTCAAAAACAAAACCAAGCGCAAGCATCACTACTCTGTTGATCTCAAAAATAAAACACAAACATAACTAATAAAATTTTCAAAAAAAGAACATTAAACATCATATTCAGTCTGATCAAAATCCAAAATCAAGATTAAACACAAATTGAAGGTTCAATCAAAGTTTTCAGAAAATAGAAATTTGAACATCATACAATTTACACTCTGGTTTCATAAATTGAAGGTTCAATCAAAATTTTCAGAAAATACAAATTGAAGGTTCAAAAAATTTCAAGTATAGACCGATATTGAAGGTTTAGAAAATAGATTCCAGAGTTCTAATTTTTCAGAAAATAGATTGCAGAAAATCAGAGAAGATAAAATCGATTTTTAGAGTTCAAACCTACCAAGGGGGCGCCGAGGGAAGACACTTTTTTTTATCTGAGCCGAAAAGCGCCATCTCTGATTCGGTAGGAGGCAATGGGAAGCATATCAAACGCTCGAACCATTCAGATGCAGAGCCATTAAGAGGCTACCAATCAAACACCCCCTAATGTACAAAAAATGCTACTCCATTAATTACAACTATTATGGACGTCCTTTACATCAGATATATCAGTTTTATAGTCTACATGTTGCCTAACGTTTTATGAGAATCAGAAGGTTAACGTATTAATATTGGAGAAAAAACATATTAAGAATTGTATACTTTAAGTTTAATTGTCAAAAACGAGCTTTCCATATATTGGAAATATATCCTTATTTGTTCAATCAAGTTAGGATTGAATAAAAAAGGTCCGATTCCAATAAATAGCACTACAGTTTCACTTCATTTTTGGTAATTGAATTTATATCGGAAGTTGAATGGTTTTCAAAAGTTGGGCGGTTTTAGTAACAATTTCAAAACTCGAATGACCAAATTGGAAATAAAGTAAAATATATTGCTATTTATTGCAACTTTCCCAATAAAAAGATATAATTGGATAAACAATAAATATTCTACATCAAAAGGTGATCATATGTAATCAAGTTTTAGAATTACCATCGAAATAGCCACATGAGTTATCTGGAAGACATCCAGACATGCTACAACGCTTCCATCTGACAAAAAAAGTAAATAAAAATCTGATGCAAATTGATATTAATTTTGGATATTATAAAAAGGTAAAGCCCACCTTTGTCTAAAACAGGAAGATGTAAGAATTTCTCATCATGCATTATATGTAGTGCTTCAAGAATCGTTGTGTCCACCGTTGCACATGTTGGATTTGGCGTCATAACCTTAAAGAAAGAAGATTTTTTTTATAAAAATACAAAAATTTCCCATGTATTAAAAAAAGAAATATTACAAAAGAAACCCTAGGAGTTTAGATGTGCATTTTAGAAGTAACTATTTAATTAGAACCAAGTAAAAGAAACATCAATGTATTTTCATTTATTTGTGTATTATAACACCTTATTTTCATTTCTTTCTATTTCAACATTCTAATTTCATTATTTTTCCTTACAAGGCATTAACTTTTAGCTATACAATTGAAGTCCTCAAAAAAATTAACAAGTTGTAAAAATATAACCTTTCCAACAAATGTCAACTCAGGAGGAAGATTTTGTGCCACAACTCGCATGAGTAGATCCTTTGAACTGAAAACAACCAAAAACACTATTAATATAGTACAAGCAAGCAATAAGAGTGTCATCGAGCTGAGTCAACTCGAAGCTAACCGATACCAACTAAAAAAAATATTGGAAACCGATGCATTTTTAAACTAAAAACTAAAAAGCCTAAAATATAAATAACGAATCAAGGTCATAGTCAAACAATAATCTTACGTTAATATGCCCTGAATAATGTTTCCAGCCATAATTATAACAGAACTAACTTGCAATTCCTTCATCCTTTTAGCAGCAGCATAAACTGGATCTGATGCCATAACAATTGCGACCCTGGGACATAATGAAGCTACCAAATTAATTTAGTACACATGAATGGAAATATATTCCAAAAAAAGTAATTAAAAAAAAATACTTGGAATTTTCGGTAATGATGGTTGACAAAGAGGACCGGAACTTTTGGTTACTTAGCGTCTCCACAAAAGTAGAAGGTGCTGAAAAATGATTTTAAATCATCAGTCATAGACCCACAACGATTAATATATAATGACACTGCATTATGAAATGCAGTTTAGGTAATCAATTTTAAAGTACCCAAACAAGTAGTTTTTTGAAATGTCATTAATATTTAATCACAATATTTTCATTGATAATTTAAATACTCACCGGTCAAATTATTTCCCGATTCGCGTTCCACAGTTTTTTCAATTCCAGATATAACATCATAGAGGCACTTTTTAATATCCAATGATCCAATAACTTCACCATTTTCAACAACTGGGAGATGCCTAAATTTTCCTGTTTTTGTAATAAATAAGAAAATATAAATATATGAAACCACATGAAAGTTGAAACTAAACTAACCTTGGATCATCTTCTGAAGGGTATCCATTGCCAAAGAATCAGAAGAGACAAAAATAGGATATTTTGTCATAACTTTTGATACTATTGTTTGGTGTGGGCTTAGTTTTTCTGCAACAACTCTAGTCGCTATATCCTAAAGACAATGATAGTCAAATAGTTAGAGAACAGAAGAGAAAACCATGCAAGGAAAGTTCAAAAAAAAATGTAAGGAATACCAAAAGAGAAAATAAACACTTGTTTTTCAAGGAATGACACAACAGCCTGGTTTTGGCTTATCAATATAACAAATATTGCAATTTTTTAATTATGATTATAGATTACGGGTATATATTCTAATTTTCATACCTTTCCGGTGACTATTCCGCAAAGCAAACTATTAGCATCTGTAAATATCGCGACATTAACACGACGAGCTGCCATTCTCCTACAAACATCTAACACAGGGGTTTCATCCGGCATTGTGAGGACCTTTGACAACCTAAACTTTTTCACCATCCTCTCGCCACTAACCAATCAAAAACAAATATTTATTAAAATACCATACAAAAAATAAAATAAAAACACCATATAACTCTCCTTCTAGCATGAACAATTACTTATATTCAATTCATGACATTTATGCTCATGGAGAAATAATTCATAAATAGTATTCCTAAGAACAAGCTAATAAAACGGACAAATGCATTAGAGCAATTTGAGTACCTTCAACCCATCTCAATTAAGCTGTCATGTCGCTAGGTAACATATAAAAGATTGATTAATATGATTGATCTGACGAGGGAATAGGCGAAGGGGATTTCAATGCATAGTGGCTCCGAGGGAGATTGTTCCATTTTCCGATTGAGTTGATAACGATTTTTTGATGGTAGTAAACGGATTGTTTCGTCTATACATCGAATTGTTCCCTCGACGAGCTACGAGCCTACGACCCTTGGCTTCTCATTTTTTTGCTATGATGCTTCCCCTCCGATTCTCACTATGAAAAGGGATTTTATGAGGTATGAAATCGACATGGGTTTTTCAAGATTCCATGGAGGACCTCATTCCATTACATACTCTGGCGAAACAAGAAAATTGATTCTCATGTATGGTGAATTCTAACAATTTGAATCGATTCTTTTTCTTTTGCTTAATTTTGTTTTTTTTCATTTACATTCTCTGCTTCAATTCAATTTTTCTGTACCAAACACACCCTTAACGCCTAAAAAATGATGATAAATCATGTTAGAAGGTGTTTGGGATTGCTTTTTGAAATAACTTACCGACTTATTGGCTTTTTTAAAAAGCCAATAAGTTAAAAAGGTGTTTGTGTAACACCTGTTGTTTTGTTTTCCAGGTATGAATTGTTTTTGTGTTGAATTATCTAAGATTGAGATTTAGGGTTTCAGACAGAACGCGACACGACTTCTATATGTCGCGGCGCGAGCCACGTCAATAAGTAGTGACGTGACCATGTAGTGGTCGCGACGCGAAGCCGCTAGGGCCAAAACCATAGGTCTCGGCCCTTGAGCCCTATATAATGGTGCTAACTTTTAGGGTTTCATCTTATTCACTAGCCTCCACCTATGAAACGTCCATTGTGAAACCTTGGCCTTCATGCAAGTGTTCTTGACTGTTGGTGACCTTGGAAGTGTGTTTTGAAGGAGATCAAGGTCTTTGGTGCACGAGAATCCTCGCAAGTGTAAATTCAGCTTCCTTATCCTCTTCTGGACTCATTGTGAGTACAAATATCCTTGCTTTATTCGTTTTTATGCTTAGATCTAGGTCTTAAGGGGATTTTGGACCCTTTTATCAATATAGACTTGATGTTCTTGGGGTTTGAGCAACCCCAGAACCTTAGAACAGATTGGAATGATCTTCCGTCCATCTTCGAGTAGTAAAAAGTGTGTACATGGGTTCCTTTTGAACCATGCACAAACTCTTGACCATTTTGAGCTTATCTTGATTCAGGGTTTGAAGTTGTGAGTGATTAAGCCTAGGATCTGGACAAATTTTGAAATTTTCTTCATTATAACCCTTAGAAGAATCATATATGATGATTTGGGCTTTGGTCTTATAAGGTTAAGACCTTAATAAAAATTGGCTGATTTACCGATATTCGTGATGCGACCAGTAGGGTGCCACGAAAAAGTCGCGATGAGCATTCGCGACTGTTTTGTCCATTAGTGATCACGACGTGACCAGGATCTGGGTCGCGCCGCGTGGCCCTTGACCATTGACTTTGACCTGTTGACCGTTGACTTTTTGACCAGTTTACCTTTTGGTCAAACTTGGTGAGTATAAGCCGTAGGCCGAGGTTTGACCTCCGGTTTTTTTTATCTAGGTGCTTCGTGAGATTGATTCAAGCGTATTTAAGTGTGTAGCATTGATTCTTTAGCTTTCTCTTCAAGTGAGTTATCTAACTATACTATGTATTACCGTTTATATAGCCTTTGTATGTTAAGATGTAGATGTATTGTAGTGAGTCGATTAGGCAAGTGGGACAATATAGTCTTTTTCCTGTTGATTATTTGATTGTTTGATTGTATGATATGTCAACATATTATGTTTGAGGAGTTAATGGTGGATCGAAAGTAGATCTGAAAGCCTAAATTACTCGTTTCTATGGTTAGAAATACACTAGAACTGTTAACCATTGTGATGGATAAACATGCACTAAAGCTATTAGTCATCGTTATGAGTAGACGTGCACTAAAGCCATTAGTCACTGTTTGATCAGGTGGATCTGCATTAGAGCTACTAATTTTCTGATATGTAGTATCTTTGTATGCATTGTATGTGTATTATGATATGTAGTATCTTTAGGAACTCGCTAAAATTTATGCTTATAGTTGTTGATTTAATCTTTTTCAGGTAGTTCCTCTACTTAGGGGAATGCTCCAACTTAACTCTATGGCATGCGTATTGCTACTAATTTACTATAGACTTCCAATGTTATGATGTTTTGATACATTTTTATAATATGGCTTGATGATGTTTTGGAATGGTTACAACCTTGATTTACTTATATTATAAATATATACAAAAACAAACTTCATGTATGTAAGGACTATTATTGTAGCTAAAAGTATAGTCTTTTATGCATAATATACAAGTACATTAATGCATGAAATATATTTTCAATCCCTTAACTTTATATAACCTATCACTTTTAACCCTTTTATTTTGTAAAATAATATTTTTCATATTTTTACTTTTAAAAATTCCACTTTCACCCCTCCACCTTCAACTTTGTATAATATCATTTTCACCTCTTCGCTTTCTAGAGTATCCTACTTATCCTGTAGTATATATAAATACGATTTTCCCTCATCTACTTTTTAAAATGCATTTTCCATCACTCCCATTTTAAAATGTTACTTTGAGCCTCTCCACAGAGAAAATGTACAATGTACACCTATGTCAATACGTAAACATGACTTTAACCCCTCAACTTTGTATAATACATTACTTGCAACCTCTCACCCCCTCCACCTTCAACTTTGTAAAATATAACTTTCATTTTTTTTTATTTTCTAAAGTTTCCTACTTATCCTGTGGTATATATAAATACGATTTTCCCTCATCTACTTTGTAAAATGCATTTTCACCGCTCTCATTATTAAAATGTTATTTTGACCCTCTTAACAGAAAAAATACACAATGTACAACTATGTCAATGCGTAAAGTACGACTTTAACCCCTCAACTTTATATAATACGTTGCTTACAACCCCTTTATTTTGTAGAATATGTTCCATTCCTTTACTTTTTAAAATATGACTTTCACCTTCTCCACCTTCAACTTTATAAAATGTCACTTTCACCCCCTTCATCTTTCATCCCCAAATTTGTATAACCGGTCACTTGCAACCCCTCGATTTTGTAAAATGATATCTTTCATCCCTTCACTTTTTAAAATATCATTTTCACCCCCCTCCACCTTTAACTTTATAAAATGTCACGTTCACCCCTTCATTTTCTAAATTTCGTGTTTATCCCCCGTTCTATATATAATATGATTTTCCCTCATATACTTTCCTAATACACAACAAAAACACATAAAAAATCGCGGTAAAGCACAAGCTCAATTACTAGTTATATATATGTAGCAACTTTCAGCAAAAAATTCACATACCCTGCATTTGAATAACCTACATGATTCGTAGGGGACCTCTGCCGCCTTTGGTTAGGAGAAGTTGAAGAACCTACATCAGATAGGCTAGGTGGTGGATGAATACTGGAGCCCTGTGAATTGTAGAGGTACAATGTTAGTAGGATTTGTGGAAAGTCTATTTCATCAACATGAACCATTTCACTTTCTTTTAATTATGATTCTTTTCGTATATTAATATTCTTAGAAAATCTTTTCTATTAATAAATAATATTAATGTAAAGAATATTTGATCCATTAGTTATTTTACTATGACTTTATTATAAGCGATATTTTTGTTAAGTAAGATATAAAAAACTATTATACTTAGATAAAAATAAAAAATATATCATTAACATTTCCATTCTCCATATGAAGATTATATAGCGTCATAGACGATTGTATGCTGAATGTGAAGGGATGAAGTGCCCCAACATAGTGGGAATTTTATATAAAAAATAAGAAAAACTATATAAATAAGGACCAAATACACCTGGAAATTAGAGTTTTGTTTCAGATTAAAGAGACACACATAAACAACAAAAGAACACTTATCTCACAAGGGCTAATCAAAATCAAGTTTGGAGAATAAATGTTTACATAAACTAAATAGATCACTCACTAACATAAAAAACTTAACATAAACTAAATAGATCAAAATTCAAAGAACGCCTATAAAAGGGCAATTATTATTTCAGATCATCTTCAAACTCAAGAGTTGCTAAGAAAAAAGTTAAGTAAATTCCTATCTTGATACCATGGATTATCAGAATACTCATGAACTTTTTTGAATAAGAACACACCTCAATATTCCTACCACAAAATTAGCCCCACCATGTATTATCGGAATACACATGGAAATTCCTACATTAATCTTGTGGTTTCATATGCTCTTGAAAGAGAAAAGGAAGAAGAAATGTCGTAGGGTAAGGTGATGGACCCGACAAGGGTTGGTAAGGCTTTTAAGTTTCCTTTTTCTTTAATAAAATAATTAACAGAAGATAAAAAAAAAAATAATAAATAGAACGGATACATAAGTCATTTATATGGGTGAAAGATCAATCATGCAAAAAACTGAATCCACAGGACCATCCATATTACGAAAAAATAGACATGAAACATGAGAATCTAAAAAACCACAAAGACATCTAATTTTGTCAAAATAAAATGTTCCACCCAATTATCACTAGTACTACCACCAAAAAAGAAAATTACTCACTTTCTCTTTCTTATTTGGGACAAACAATGTAGCTATATATATATATATATATATATTCTAAAAAACAAAAATAAGATAAAGTCAAGTATAATTAAAGATTTAATAGAGAAATGTAGGTATTTAAGGGGGAATAAAGGATATCTAATAATATTATTTAAAATATACTAGGTGTGAGACCCATGTATTACATGAGTTTATTTAAAAGAAAAATTAAATATAAAATTCTAAACAATTTGAGATGTTGAATTTATAAGAAAAGTAGGAAAATATTGAATAATAAAATTTAAATTGTTTTTTATTCTTTTCTAAATTTAAACAAATAATTTAGATAAATAAAAAAAAGATAATTAATGAAGCTTTAATTTAGTAATTTTGAAATTAAAAGGAAGGTTCGTTAATGAAATTGATATGCATTTATTTATTATTATATTTAAATACAATGTGAAATTTAATAAAATGGAAAAATCATAAAATGACATGTGGAATAAAAATTAATTTAAAATAACCACAAAATTACATGTTGCAAAATGAATAAGAATGTGACATGTGACAAAAAGATCTTTATTTATTAGAATAGATTCTTAAATCATCATCGATCAATCGATAGTAAACATGTCAATTTTTTTTGTCATCGTTCTTAATAGAGACAAATAAGAAATGAAGGCGTATAGGTTGAGCAAATCTCAAATATGATTACTATTTAACGACATTATTCTTTGGTTTGTTTAGTAGTATACATGTGATTATTAGATATATAAAAAGTATAAACAAATGTGATGCACTAAAAGATCCAACTACCCATCATTTCGATGTTATGGTTGCTAGTTTGTTAAGATATTATACTATCTTTAATCTTTAACATTATATTTCACACCAAAAAGATCCAACTACCCATCATTTCGATGTTATGGTTGCTAGTTTGTTAAGATATTATACTATCTTTAATCTTTAACATTATATTTCACACCAAAGCATAAAAACTATTATAAAAACAAAATCATATATAACTCATTATATTATATTTAACAAGAAAAAATAATATTTTAGGTATATTTCTTTTTTATCTAATTTTGATAATATATTAAAGAAATTACATAAATGACCCATGTAGTTTGGTTAAATTCTAACTTTGGAAAGTTGATACAAACTATTCTTATGGTTTCAGATGTTGCATTTGTTATCTCTACTAGGTGTACGACTTATGTATTACATGAGTTAATTAAAAAAATTAAATATAAATGTTTAAATATTTAAGACCTTTTGATTTATAAGAAAAATAATGAATTATTAAAATTGATTTTTTTATATTTTAAATTTAAATAAATAAACAAAATAAACTAATGAGCTTTAATTTGTGAATTTTGAAATAAGAAGGTAAGTCTATTAATGAAATTGATATTCATTTATTACTACATTTATTGTAATTATTATATTAAAGTATTATGTGGAATTTATTAAAATAGATAAACCCACAAAATGACATGTGAAAAAGAAATTAATTCAAAATAACCACAAAATGACATTTGACAAATTAAATGAGAATGTGACATGTGACAAAAAAACATTCATTTATTAGAGTAGATTCTCTAGTGGCTAACTTGTCCATGTAAAAAGTCTTTTACTTTCACATGCTCTCCATCTTCTTTTATGTTAGAAAGTTTGAATAAAAATATTGAGAGATTACATGTGGGGGAAGAGGACATTGAGATGGTTGTAACTGGAAAAGCTCCCAGCTTTTCCGGTGTTGTTAATGGTAGAGGTGGAGGTCATGGAAACGATTGGAGAACTGGGATTTTAGGCTTTTAGCTGGATTGATTAGAATGGAAACAGGTATATCGATGGTGTATCTGGTGAAGAAGAAATCAAACAACGTTCTTTTTAAACGAGGGACATGACTAGAATTTGTGGGATGATCTTGTTTAAACTCGGAACAGACCCATCATTGATGTTTGCGATCCATGAGGAGTCTAAAAGTCATGGCTTTCTTCTTCTTCTTGAAAGAGTGTTTAGGATCTTATAATAAGAAGAAGAGATCTTTCTAGATCAATCCCCTTACCCCTCAGGTATTGTAGTGATTAGTGATGTTAGAATAAATGGCAAAAAATGATGTGGTGCAATTGAAAGTCCAAGCAATTTTACTGAATATTATACTTAATCTGATTCCTTTGTCAGTATCCCAGTCCCAAGATATTGGGGATCCCAATACCCAATCGTGCCCGAAATATTATTGGAGATAACAAATGTGTATGGTTGATTAGCTGGACCAAATTTTGATAGACCAAGATCCGCAATCCTGGCATTCCAGTTTTCATCTAACAAGATATTAGAACTTTTAATATCCCTATGCAAAACTCTTTGTTGGGTTCCAGCAGGATTATGAAGGTATGCTAGTCCGTGAGCCACCCAATGCATATTTTAAGGCGTGGAACCCATGTAAGATCCTTGTTGTCGAGATGCAAGTCAAGACTTTTATTGGATGAAAACTCGTACACGAGAATCTTCTCACCATTTTCATTACAATACCCTAGGAGGGAGACAATATTTGGTTACTTGTAAATGGAAATCATGATTACCTCCTTCCAAAACTTAGAGATAGGAAAAGATAACCGATTAATCCAATTACATATCCCCATTTCACCCCTATGCTTCGCCCAAAGGAAAACCGAGGAAATAATATCATGCATAACCGAAGAGACAGAAACGATATGCTTGTTGAACAATCTAGCATTCCTAGCTTTACCCAAACTCCAGATAAGACCATACAAGATCATGGTGAGAATGCGTCTCTTTTTGGGACATATCCCCCAGTGGTTAATGAAATCTAATAAAGCACGAGTGTTGGCAAAAAATGGGAAAGGAATCCTGCACCAGGTTCCAATCCAGCTCCGCACCTTAGATGCGAAAGGACAAGAAATCAGAATATGGTCCGCGTTCTCCACCTCCCCACATAAACCACACGCAATAGAATCAATAGGAACGCCCCTAACTGAGAGAGCCTCCGCAGTGGGAATTCTCCCTTTTTCTGCCTTCCAGACAAAACCCGACACTTTTATAGGAATTTCTTTGCACGACACAACCATCGGGTTCGACTCAGCAGCCAGGTTTTGATCAACAATTAATCTCACAGCGTCCACAGTATATATACCATTTGGGTTCAAAAGGCATATCCATTTTTGTCTGTAAGGCAAAATAGTCTCAGTCTGCACTTTAAAAATGTCATAGAAATTGAGATTCAATTTTCTGATGTCATTTTCGCTTTGGAATTATTGTTCCAAACTCCAGTAACGGTACCACTAGAGATTTGATGATGGGGTTTCCCGTCAAGCTTATGAATCCCATGAATAAATTTACACCAAAGTGATGAGGAGCTAGTCTTTAACCGCCACCACCACTTTACAATAAGACCAATGTTAAGAGCACATATAGAGCCGACACCTAGCCCTCCTTTGTCCTTAGGCGCCACTAACTTATCCTAAGACATCCAGTGAATCTTCATTTTCTCTTCAGTTCCTCCCTATAGAAATCGTCTCCGTATTTTCTCGAGAGACTCAAGAACACTAGCCGGAGCTTTAAACAGCGAGAGGAAATAAGTGGGCAGATTTTTGAGCACAGACTTGATAAGGGTGATACGACCTCCAAATGAAAGGCATTTAGCTTTCCATAGCGAGAGTTTGGAATTGAAACAGTCAAGAATGGGTTTCCAATTTTCACCAAATTCATGTTGGCTCCAACAGGAACACCGAGATACTAAAAAGGGAGAGAGCTAGAGACGCAACACAAAATATTTGCCCATTCGTTCGTCTCCTCAGCGCTGACTCCAATTCTGAATACACTGGATTTGGAAAAAGTTGACCTTCAACCCCAAAGACTCATGGA